TATTGTTGTTTTCAATAAGTTTTTATATTTTCTCAACTCAAATGTCACATTTAAAAAATTTGAGAATTTTTGTTTGGGTTTCCCAGCTTTTGTTTCTCGTTTTGTACGCTAATTAGAACCAAGGGGAAAGAAATGCATATTGCATTATGTAGACAACAAAATTTACATCCTTCTGAATATATAAAAATTAGAATGTTGGTTACTTTTCATTCATCATTTTCAATTTTACTGAAAAAGTTTGAAAAATTTAAAAATTTTTTCATGCTGTCAAAATTAATTTATTTTCGATAAATTCTCTCAATTGTTAGAGATGGGACAAAATTCTTGGTGATTCAGAGAGTGATTCGAATTGAACAACGTACAAAAGTCGGTGTTCGCTCAGACAATTTTGTATGGGGAACTAAGTAATTACTTCATAATTAAGGGTCGAACAACGAATGAGAGAGCGAACAACGCTCGTCTGTACATGGCATTAAGTGCACATTTAAATATCCCAGCTCTATCCGTTCACCAGCATCCAAATTGTATCAAATTTAGTATCATTTATTACTTTTCGTAGACGTTAGTAGGAGGTTCTAAAACTTCTCAATTTCACACTCCAAAACTTTATTTTTAATGACAAATTTCAGGATCCCAGCCCTATCCGTTCATATAGATCCAAATTGTACCATATTTAGTACTTATGAGTTCGAATTTCCAACACTGTCTCAATCCTGTATTCTAACAGTAATTTTATTATACCCTTCACAACACTGTGGTACAGGGTATTATGTCTTTGTGCATATATTTGTAACAGGCAAAAATAATCGAGATAGACCAATGGTTCCTTTTGAGAATATGCATAGACTCACTTTCTGAGTCGATTTATGCACCAAAGTCTCTGAAAATCATTTGATTTGTACGAATTGTGGCATAGCGTATTGAATTAAATCTAGAATGGCGTATGCTAAGTTTTGTGAAAATCGGTGCAGATTTAGATATAGCTTCCATATATAGTTTCACCCGATTTTAGGTAAATTGTGCACCAAAGTCTTTGCTAATTTTTTTATTGGCATAGATATATCGTAGCTTCCATATATAATTTCGAATTATTTATGTTTATTGTATACCACATAATCAATAGGTGTCTGATTGAGATTAAATTTTAAACAGTGCAGCATACCGAATAGAGTTTGTCAAGTTGGCTTTAAATCGATTTACACAAATCTGTCCCACTGAGCGCAAACGACTCTAAACTTGCCCAAATGAAATGAAATTTAGCATAGGTTCCAGAAAGACATTAAAATCACATATTTAAGTTCGTTCGATTTCATGTCAAAATTCCTTAAAAAAGGCGACGTCTTTTCGGATACATATGTAGAATATACCCAAAGTGGTGAAGGGTATCATACAGTCCGACTTTACTACTTTCCTTACTGGTTTTTAAATATACGTTTTCCATCTCTATCCTTTTATTCAAATCTGAATTGTACTAAACTTAGTACCATTTAGTACACATAATTACGCATTTTTAAAACTAACTCCATGTCTCATCCTACAATCCAATCCTTAATTTTAATTCAAAATTTTATGATTCCCGCTCACACAAAACAAATTGTAACATATTTAGTACCATTTTGTGCTTCTCGTATCCATAAGTACATAATTCCAATACTACCTTAAATCTGTAATTTTTCATTCCAATTTTAAGTTTTCCATCTCTAACCGTTCACTCAAATCTATATTGTACCAAATTTAGTACCATTTAGTACACGTATTACGAATTTTCAAAACTACCCACATATCTCAATCCTGCATTCAAACTGTTATATTAATTCATAATTTCAGGATCTCGGCCCTATCCATTCACACAATTGTTCAACAATTTGTAAACCATTTGGTACCAGTTAGTACTTTTTTTTGTACACTCCAATAGTATTTTTAATTCGAAAATTCTGGAGTCCAGCTCTATCCGTTCACACATAATTAAGTTGTGCCAAATATAGAACCATTTAGTACACATAAGTACTATGCTTCCATATCTCAATTCTATATACCAACAGCAACCACTATTCCAAATTTTAGGTTTCCAGATCTCTCCATTCACCCAAATCCAAATTGTACCAAATTTAGTTCCGTTTAGTACTTTTCGTACATATAAATGCGAATTTCAACTGTAATCTTACTTCCAAATTTCATATATAAAATTTCAAGATTTTAGCTATATATGTTCAATATATGTAGAATTAGAACTACATTTAGTACTTTTAGTACACTTATAGGTCGAATTTCCAAAAACCCCTTTTGTACATCTTTCTAACTTTCCATCAGTGACCCACATTCCAAATTTCAGAATTCTAGCTCTTCCCGTTCGCCTAATACAAAGGGTACCATATTTCGTACATTTTAGTACTTTTCGTACCCTTCTAGTACGAATCTCCAAAAACCCAGCCTTATCTCACGCCTAAACACCAACAACAACCCACACTCAAAATTTCAAGCTTCTAACTTTAGCCGTTTCGTCTGGGCGATGATCTGTCAGTCAGTCACTCACTCACTCACTTAACACTAAGCTCTTTTATATATATAGATAGTATGTAGAACCCAGATTTAAGATGCATTTCAATGTAAACTTACATGTTATTCATGATTTCGGAGCAAAAATAAAAATGTATTCCACCAAATGCAAATGAGATGCAGATGATGCAGTCTTTGCTTCCTTTCTTCCGCTGTTGGTTACGTTTGCAACAACAATGCGTCAAAAAATAACAAATAGCTGGACCCACACTCACACACACAAATGTTTCTTTTTCATTCACATCAAATGACAGCCGTGCCGGTTATGTCAAAATGTTGTCTCGAGAAGAAACAGCTGTTATTCTCGCTAACTGAAAATTGTATTTGAAAAATAAAAAAAATTACAAATTGGCATCGGAATTGCCTCCGAGTTATTGGTTCCAACTTCATGATCTTTTCTTTAAAGAAATTGCCAGTAAAAGTCAGAAACTTCTATGTCAGGAAAAAATTATATTCTATGTCCACTGAATTGCTTGCTTTTCGCAAGGTTACGGAATACGCCGAAAATAATGGCACCAATACTTTCTGACAGCTTAAGTGGCATTCAAGCTATGAATAATCAAAAAAAATATTAATACAAGAAGATGCTTTCAGGAACTATGTGATTCCTCCACACTTGAAGACTTCACGGATTCACTAGGTTTAGAAAGTTTGAACATTGTGGTAAAATTCCTAAAAGAAGTTGGAGTTGATCTATAAATAAGAAACATAAAACAACAATGGAGAAAGTCAAGTCTGTAGCTTCAATTCGTTGTCGGACAGCTCACACTTGCCACGTGTTTTATCGAACTAAACGAAAAATATAAAAAAATCTCGTTTATATGGTGTATGGACTAGCTGGAGGAGACCTGCCTCCAGTTTTTAAACAGATACAAACATTGTAGCTCTGAACATTCTAACTTCAAGTTGGACGTGAGTCAGGAAGGAAAGGAGTTAATAAAAAAAATGGTACAGAAGTTGTGGCAGGCAGGTCACGGAGCCCGGAAGAAACAAAACACAAATAATAGAAAGACTCCTTCAATAAAAGATTCCCATCAACATGTCTATAAATAATTCTTTTAAATAATCTATACAGACCTCCTCCAATACGTCTACGAAATACCATCTATAACACGTCTGTGATAGACTCCAATAAAATTTTCAGTATTGGCTTCCACCAATTCGTCTATAAAGACTTTTTTCAAGTGACATACATAAAAGACCTACGCTCGTCTATGAAAGACTCCCTTCAGCTTGTCTTTGAGAGGTTCCCTTAAGCTCGTGTATGAAAGACTTCCTTCTGTTCCTTCATAAGACATCCTTCAGCTCGTCTATGACAGACTCTCTTAAACTTCTATATAAACACGCCCTTCAGGCTGTCGTTTATAAATGACTTTAACTCGTCTATGAACAAGTCCATAAAAACCCACTTCAATTCGTCTGTAAAAGACTTCCTTCAGCTCGTCTATAAAAGATTCCCTTGGTCTAAAATACTCCCTTCAGCCTCTCTATGGAAAAACTCCATTCAACTGGATTATAAATAACTTTAGCTCATCTATGAAATACTTCCTTCAGCTCGCTTATAAATATTCTCTTGATCTCAACTTGTCTAAAAAAAGACTCCCTGTTGTTTGCCCATAAAAGTCTTCCAGTACGTCTCCTTTAAATTACGGCCCTCATGTATACAAAATATAAATACTATTTTTATTTTTCAATTTCCACTCATTTCGAGTTTTGTTTTGTTGTCCTTTTATTTCAATTATCAAAACAAAATAAACAACAATTAAGCAATCATGGATGGAAGTAATATAATTTTAAATATAACCTATAAATATAATAAAAAAATAAAAAAGAAATATACATGAATGTTAGATAAAAATGTGTATAAATGTAAATTTTTGTAATACATATATAGTAAATAATGAATATATATAATTTATTTCGATTTTATTTCATTGTATATATTTTTTTCGTATCACATTAACGAATGAAGAACAAAAAAGCTATTGAATTGTATTCATGTTTATATATATATATATATATATATATATATAAAATTGGTATTATAACTTCAAGATAACTTTGGATAAATTGTGAAATGTTCGTTTTTTTATTAATATTAATTGTTGTTGTATATATTGAGGTGTTAAATTAGTTTGGAATACATAGTTAAATACAGTTTGGAGGAAAGCGTGTTGTCGATACATTTTTTTCGTTTACACAATGTACATTTATACAATAATAATTAAAATAAAAACATATTAATAATAATAATAATAAAAACATTTAATAGATTCATTTCACTAAGGTTGTATTGTGTTTTTCAGTTTATTATTTTTTTTTTTTGTAAAACTTTGTTTTTTTCTTTGTATATTATTGTAATCTTGAATACACATCAATCATCAAAAGTCTTTAAACAATAACGAAATTTTCGTTCGTTTGTTTTTGTGCGTGTCCGGAATATTTCAACAGTTAAAATTTGGATTATATGGCGCCTGTTTTTCATAACTACCATTTTTGGGTACACCGGCTCCAGCACCGCCCACTGCCACATCATAGGATGGAGGGGCTGCTGATGGCATCATTGCTGGTGGATAGGGTGCTGCATAGGGTTGAACACTGTAAATAAAAAAATCGAAAAAGATTATAATTTAAAATTCGAGCATATGTAGAATAAATTAAAATTAATAGTAAGGAAAGCCCGTGGTCGGACACGATACATATGATACACCTACAACAATTTAATACAACACAAGTCGTTGCTAAAAAGTATATGTACATTATTCTGTCCATCGGTTGGAAGTAATATAAAAAAATGGATCTGCATTCAAGAACATCGTCGGCAAGAAGAAGATCGTCTATGACGACTGCCTTAAGCTTGTCTATCCTTTGCCCTTTTAAATGATCTATACATACCCCCTTCAGCTCATCTATGAGAGACTCCTTTAACTCATATTTCTTTCAATACGTCAATAAAGATTCCTATCAAATGATCTATAAAGATTCCCTTTTTTAGAATCGTCTGTAAAGATTTCATACAGCGCGTCCATAAAAGACTTTCTTCAGCTCGTCTATGAAAAAACTCCAAAATCCTCGTCTATGAAAGAATCCCATTAGCTTGTCTATTGAAGACTTCCTCCAGCTCTTCTACAAAAGACTCCCATCAGCTCGTCTAGACCCCTCTTCAGCTCGTCTACAAAAGACTCCCTTCAATTCGCATATAAAAGTTCGTTTACATTGTATCGGATTTCGTTAACCCAGTGGATTTAAATTGTTAATTCCATTGTATATATGTCAAATAAATCCTCATAAAGTAGGTTAACCCGATAAAAATTTCTAATGTAAATGTCATTTAAAAGACTCCCTTTAAAAGACTCCGTTTGTGTCCATTTTATATGGTGATTGTGTCCGAGCCTAATACATTTAAATTTGCCTTTTTCATTTCAAACTTACCCTGGAGCTGGTGGCTGTGATGCTGGCATTGGCATCGGCATTTGTGTAGGAACTCTGTAAAGTATTAGATATGAAATAAATCGTAAATAAAATCAAACTATTTTATAGAAAATGTTTCGACATACCCTTGGGGAGGATACGGCGTGGCATAGGATTGTGTATGATATGCTGCTGGTGTTGCCGTTGTTGTTGCACACACAGGCATTTGTGTGACAGGATAACCACCAGGTGCTGTATGTGTGGCTGATGTTACAACAATTGGTGCTGCAAAGAGAAAGAGAGAGGGAGATAGAAAATTAGTATAAAATAAACATAACTTAAAAAAATTACACGGGTCTCAAATAATATTCCAGAACGGATAAAAAAATTAGGATTATTAGAATTGGGATCCTTCCTTTAGAAAAAATATTTTTTCTATAAAAAAAATTCACAGGAACCTCAGGTCGTTTCTTTTCTATAGAAACAAATTTGCAAGAAACTCAGGTCAATTTTTTTTTCTATAGAAAAAAATTCGCAAGGCTCTTAGGTCGATTTTTTTCTATAGAAAAAAAATCGCAAGACCCTTAGGTCGATTTTTTCTATAGAAAAAAATCGCAAGACCCTTAGGTCGATTTTTGTTCTATAGAAAAAAAAACGCAAGACCCTTAGGTCGATTTTTGTTCTATAGAAAAAAAAACGCAAGACCCTTAGGTCGATTTTTTTCTATAGAAAAAAACCGCAAGACCCTTAGGTCGATTTTTTTTCCTATAGAAAAATTCGAAAGACCCCTAAGTCGATTCTTTTTCTACAGAAAAACATTCGCAAGACCCTTAAGTCGATTTTTTCTATAGAAACAAATTCGCAAGATCCTCAGATTTTTTCTACTTCGATTTTTTTCTATAATAAAAATATCTTATTTTTTTCATATAGAAAAATTTGCGAGACCTCAGGTCGATTTCTTTATATTTTATCACCTCCCACAACTTCCGTTTCACGTTCCCGCTTTAATTTTCTGCGACGCAATATGACGGCCAATGTTGAGAGCAAGAAAATTGCCAAAGCAAAACAAAAACTAATTATAAATGCGCTCATCATAAAAAGTTTTGAAAATTAAACTTTTGAATTCTGGATTGAATTTTGCAAACTTCACGATACAAATGTTTTATTAATACTAACTTATTTTTTTTTAATAAAAATTATATCAACTTTTAATATATTGATGATGATGAGTAATCGGCTTAGAGGTACAGGAGAAAATATTGCAAAAAAATCAAAAAACATTGACATTTCTAATGAATGGCAATGATAACGAATAGTTGTAGTTCGGATTGTAATCTAATCGCATGAAAATTTATTTTTATTTACTTTTATAGTGCCGTGTTAGGTTAGGTTTTACAAAAAGTAAAATAGGTTGGAGTTGAGATTTTTGGTTTTATGGTCATGATCACAATCATTTTTTCTCAAATCGTTGCAAATCAATTTTAAAATTATCAGCAAATAAATACCTGGCGTATACGCAGTGGCTTCGCTCATACGCAATATACTAATAAGGGATTTCGATTTGAAGAAGAAGATATATGGGATTTTGAATCTGTCTAGACTCAATGGAGAATTTCTATATAACTTCTCCGGAATTCTTAGATAGAAAAGGACCATCTAGAGATTTTTTATAAATTGAAATTCATCTCTAGACCTGAATACCATGCTAACATATTCAATAGAAATATATGTTTTTTTAAATTTAACGCAGATTCAAACAATATTTTTTCCAAAATTTTACATTTTCTTTTTAAATATTTCCTCCAGTTTTGAACTTTTTCCGCCTTACCCTTTTTCTGATTATCCGCTCGCCTACGTTTCCTTGTAACAAACACCCCTATTGAGGTTATTGTAAAGATGAAAAATGTTATGCCCAGAGCAAAAATTATTGCAGAATCCTCCTCCATTTTGGACAATCGACTAACAACAAAAGTTAATACTGAATACCACAAAAATTAGCAATTCTTAAAACAAATTCATATTTGTGTTTTATTTTTCGCAATTACCACTCAGGTTAATCTAATTGTTTTTCTCTCTTTCTCCCTCTCTCTTTAGATAACAAGAAAAAATACACACAACAACGATAAAACTGATAAGAATGAAAATACATATTTAGGTTGTTTGATTTTCGAATTGATTAGAGAGTTTGAAGTAGAGTTTTCAAATATATAATCAATATCTAAAAAAAAAAAAAAAAAAAAAATCCAAGGCGATAAGGATAATAACCCAAAAATATGAATAATAAATATATTATATATAATGACGCTGTGATCCCGCACCACTTTGTCCTATGACGTTGGCTAGAATAGTTGATATTACTACGTCAATGTGGGCCGGGGGTAATTATAAACGTCTGGTCGGAAGGAACAACAAACGAGAGGGGAAGAGAGAGAGAGAGACATGAGTTATTCAAAAGAGGGAGAACAAGTATTAATTATATTCTGCTCACTGATCGGTCACATTTTCTTTTTAAAAGGCCAAATTTATTAAAACTCTGTTATTGGTGAAACAAAAATAGGGACAACCTTGGCAACCCTGTCACTTGTATAAATAAATGCTCACGTTTTTTGTTGTGATAATAACTCTGCAAAATAGTAATCCCTAAATAACCTAAGCTAATGCAGGTCTCCTCTTAAGTAAATAATAAAGAAAAGATACGTGCTGCGTGGGTTCTATGAACACTGTCGTACATTAATTTTATTTTTATTTTTTGTAAATAAAAAAATAATTTCATTCAAGTCTCAATCGAAATCTGAATCAATTTTCCCAAAACGTTCCACGCAGCATTCTAGACTCAATTCAATACGCTATGCCATATTTCATGTAAATCGAGTGATATATAGGGACTTTGGTGCACCATTTACCTTAAATCGGACAAAAAAATATATGAGAGCTATATCTAAATCTGAACCGATTTTCACGAAACTTAGCGCACATCATTCTAGGCTTAATTCAGTACGCGGTGACAAATTTCGTGCAAATTGAAATGTATTTAGGGGCTTTGGTGCACCATTTATCTAAAATCGGACCAAAATATATATGGGAGCTATATCTAAATCTGAACTGATTTTCACGCAACTTGGCACACATCATTCTAGGCTTAATTCAGTACGCTGTGCCAAATTTCCTGCAAATCGAAAGATATTTTGAGGCTTTTGTGCACCATTTACATAAAATCGGACGGAAATATGTAAATCTGAACTGATTTTCACGCAACTTAGCACGCATCATTCTAGATTGAATTCAGTACGCCGTGCCAAATTTCGTGCAAATCGAGCGATATATATGGACTTTGATGCACCATTTACCTTATATCGGACAAAAATATATATGAGAGCTATATCTAAATCTGAACCAATTTTCATGAAACTTAGCGCACATCATTCTAGGCTTAGTTCAGTACGTTGTGCTAAATTTCGTGTAAATCGAAAGATATATAGGGACTTTGGTGCACCTTTTACATTAAATCGGACGAAAATATATATGGGACGTATATCTAAATCTGAACCGATTTTTCCAAATTTCAATAGGGTTCGTCCTTGGGTCAAAGGAATGAGCTGTGCCAAATTTCATCCAATTCGGATAATAAATGCGACCTGCACTTTGTTTACAATTTAACATGGACAGACTGACGGAAGGACGGATGGACGGACATTCATAAATCGACTTAGAAAGTGATTCTATGCATATTCTCGTTTCCTTTTGGCTGTTACAAACATATGCACAAAGACATAATACTCTCTACCACAGTGTGATGAAGGGTATAAAAACACCAAACGCTAATGTTTATAATCACTCGCTATCACTCTCTCTCTATCTCTCTCTCTCTCTCTCTCTGTTCAGTCTCACACAAATATCCCTCTCCATATCCCTCAGTTATTACTGAAAGTTCATTCTACCACCACCTACCTTGTTGTCGAAATTCGGTTTGATTGTGAACATTACGACGTTTGACACAACACCAAACAATTACAGCACACCAAAACAATACCATCAGACCGGCGATAATGCCGCCAATAGTTATTGAAACAATTGCACCGGTATGCATTTTACGAAAAATATATAAATCAATATAATAATATTGAACGACACACGATTTAGAATTATACGACGGTAGTGTTCAATCTCTGGTTGCAACTAAATGGGAGAGGCAGATAAATAATCGGCTTGTTGGATTCAATACAACGAAATAAAATTGGTTTGATAAGTACTTAATCGAACAATATGTATACATTTTGAATCGTGATAAGATAAATACTGAAGAGGGTGGGTAGTATTACTCATACAAAGCTTATTTTTGGTGGGTATTTCCCCTTTGAAATTATTTGTTTATTTATTTATGGCTTGTGAATTACACTATGATTTGGATTTTTGTTTAAATATTTCTTAGCTTGGATTTTTTTAAATCAAAATTTTTTAAGCAGCAACTTAACAGTGGAATTTCCTCCAAAGACTGGATTTATATTTTTAGGTCACAATTTAATCGTCGATTTTTTTTTTTCAATATAACCTACCTCCTTGTGTAGTTAGTTTATGTGTATTTCGATGTCTTATACAAAGACGGATCATTATAATAAACGAAATAAATAGAATTATGCCACCCATTATTAGTACAACAATAGCTCCGGTAGGCATGTTTTTTTTCTATTTTGGTTTTGATTTTTTTTTTTGAAAATATAAAAATTAAAAAAAAAACGAAAATAAAAACAAACGCCATTAAGACTTGAAATGTTTTAATGCAACTGAAAATAGGTGCTGAGGTAAAGGTGTCGGTTATGTGGTTTCATCTGTTTCTATAAACACATCAATGTCGATAAATGGATTGCAAAATGATAAGATTAGTAAAAACATACAAAAATAAGTAATGGTAATAATTCCAGGAAATTCCGTTTTTTTTTAACTAAAAAACATGCACACACACACTATTAGAAACATTTAAATTAAATTTGAAGATAATATTGTTTCGCCTCTCAATATCATTTGAATTGTGTTAAAAAAAATCGCATATGAACATCGAGCGATTGGATTAAGTAGCCCGGCCATAGAACACCTGTATTATGTCTCCAGTCTTTGGTATCACTTGTCCACCCATTCCGTATATTTATATTTACCACTTGTGGCCTGTGAACAACATCGAGGTTGTTCTCGATTCCGATTCCGATTTCTCTTTCTCATACACGATATTATTATAACACAGCAGCAAATAAGAATTGTAAAAGCCACTATGGCGAGTATAATAAAAAATA